CTGCTTAGTAAATTGCACTGTCAAGGTCCAGAAAAGTATGAAAAGCATCGTCAGAATAGTCCATCTGCCATCAGTGGTTCAACCGTAACGTTATGAAGCGATGAGAATACTTTTTGTACGCGAAGAAAACAAAAATAACGACTTTATTCAACAATTTGTCACCTCTGTGTCTCTCCGCATTACCGTAGCGCCATTTTGGAGAATATCCGATGAACGCAAGCAGCGTACGCTGTTCTGTGTCAGCCGCGACACAGGATATGTTTTCTACGTGTATTTACACTTTGATTTGAATGAAAACAGCGCATCCGTGCAGCGCAGCTGACACAGAAGAGCGTACGCTGCAGTCACATGCCTCCCGGTTTTCATCCAAAATATCTTAAATTGTGTTCCGAAGACGAACTGAGCTTTTTTTACGGGTTTGGAACGACATGGGGGTAAGTGATTAATGACAAAATTTTCATTTTGGGGTGGAGTAACCCTTTAAGTAACATAATATTTCTTATAAATTGGCAAAAATACAAAAACGCTTTGCATAACAACGTTAGTGTTATTTTAGTAACACTGAGATACTATTACAGTTTTTATTCATATTTTGAATCAGTTTTTATTTGTATATTTTCTGTTTACAAGTTTTTTTTGTTTTTGTCATTTTTAGTATTTTTTGTCTATATAGTTTTTATACATTTTTATTACAGCAAGTTAAACTAAATTAAAAAGAGAAATGTTGCCTTTGCAAGTAGCTGAAATAAATTTCAAGTAGCATTTTAAATTTTAGTTTGTTTCAGTTAACTATAATGACCCAGCATTAAGTTTGATTTAAATTTCTAAAAATTCAAATAATTTGTAATATTTGTAACGAAACATTTAATTTGCAAAAACATTCCTTTATGTTTCATCACATAACACAACATTCTTGTTTTAAATCTGTCCAAATATTAAACCTTTGTTTATTTCAAGGTTTAAATTAGATTTTAAATCGTAGATATTCAACATGGTATCACACTTCCAGCCCCACTGTTTCTCACATTCAACAGATGCAAAAGCAAATGCACAACACACTTATTTATGAAAATGTACAAAAATTCTACAAAAATAATGATGAATAAAAATCAGCATCACCGCTGTGGCATAGAGTGCCCCTAAGGAGCAAAACCGTGATTTGAATATCAACACATGAATACAAATTTTTCATATTCATGTATTCAGCAGAGGTCTCACGCTCCACAGGAAGTTCTGTCTTTTGTGCTCTTGGGTTTCTGGCCTGGTTTTTCTCCCTCACCTAGTTCCCACATCTCTCTCCTCTCCTGAACCCGTGTGTCATTCAGGTTCAAAGGCCTCAGCCTTAAGCGCAGCCATGCTGCTCTACTGTAATGGCTCCTGAAGCTTTCAAAGGCTCCTGCCTCTCTCATCTGCCACCCTTTCTGTACTACAAACACACCATTCATATTTATAAGAAATTAGAGGAAAACCTCTTTTCCGCTCACCTTTTTTTTGTCCTACAAGTATATATTTTTCTCTAGTGACTGACTTGAATTACAATGCAATATGCTAGCTGAACCCCAAGGTCCCTGAGAAAACATATAAACTACTGTCAACAACAACTTTGCCAAAAAGGTTCCTGTACTTGACTTACAAGAAGCAAAATCACTTAGACTGTTTACATTTTATTTTTACAAGTCCTGTCACTCCATGTAGTATAAAATAAGTTGTGTGAGAAGGGAAAGTGACAGCATGCTGTGAGCGTACATTTATCAGTAATAATGAGAGAAGTCAAAAGCCACACTCTAGACACTCACAGCAGATTTGTCTTTTCTTCCTAGGCCAGATGGGAAACTCCATCATTGCATTGCATAAGTGAAGGAGCATCTTGAGCACCCGTGATAATAAAACGAGTACAGGTACATCTTGTACTTACTTCTATCTTCAGGCCGAACTGTCAGTCTCAGAACAGCTGTGTACAGAAATACGAATGATCTGAACGATGTAGGCCTCCCACATATTACAAACATGCCTGCAATCTAACTAGTGCAAACACACCCATACACACAAGCAGAATGCACACACACTGAGGGAAATTAATATGTTCTGCATTTGTACGCAAACAGAAGTAAATTAAATTGTACAATGAAACCTCATAAATCCTGTCAAAAACATATCTCAGTCATATTCTGCATCAAAATAAAATTAAAGGAATAAGTTATATATTGCTTACAGAAAAAAAGAAATCTATTTTATGTCAAACTACGAAATAACATTTTTATAATATTTAACAATTAAATTTATAAATAAAAATGCAATAAGAAAAATTTATTCAAATCCAATAATAATAACAATCTCTTTTGTTTTTATTTATTTTCTTGTATTTTATATAAAATATCATTGTATTACTGTCATTTTTACCATGATTTAGTTAAAATAAAACCAGTGAATTATGGTAGGTCTATCAACTATTAGGTTCACCTCAAACTATTTTTGAAAAAAAAAAGAAAAAAAAAGAAAGAGAATGAAAATATATGTCAAACCAGAGTATTTAAAAAAATCTATATGCATTAAGGTATTGATCATTTAATCTTAATAATAATCTTTATATTCTTAAAATAAACTTTCTGACTTTGGGGGTGGATATTTTGATTGATCCAGGGTTCTTGCCGAATTGTGCAAAACAGTTGCAGCAGGTTTAATTTTTATTCCATACTTTAACATATTGGTCACAGAGACCCGATAAGCCTGGTTACACTCAAGTATGAAATAATCCCTTCAAAAACATCTTGAAAAATCAGAGGCTTCTTGCTAGACTCCTTCCTCTCTCTGTCACACACACACACACACACACACACACACAGAGAGAGACACATACAGCGCTATAAACACAATTACCCCTCCTCCCTTTAGACCAGTGGTCTTCACTATTTTTTTCATGGGAGCCGCACTGATAGGGCAAAGTCAATCGGAGAGCCACTTTTACCGCGAAGTATCAAAAGTTACATCCAGTCATAAATAGCATGTCTTTTTATCAATCTGTCATATGCAATGCAATGCAATACAAAAGGGGCTATCATTCTTTATCATTTACCAGTCAAATTTGTAACTGAGACAAGCAAAAAAGACAAGCAAAAAAGCAGGATTACCTTAATGCTGGAAAGACCTTAAGTTATTTTATTTTTTTACACTAGCCCATCATGTATCTAACCATCCAAGTGCACATTCGGCGTTAAGAGCTGTTAAGATTAAAACTGGCAACTCCGCAGTGAGTCAGTGTCATGGACGTAGGACAGAGCAAGTGTAAATATCTTTTCTAGTCTATATTTCCATCTTGTAATGCCGCTGTTTTAGGTATTTTTTTTTAAAATATATAAATTATTTGTAATAGAGCAGACACTGTCTGACCGTGTCTACACTGGACGCAACAGTTGTCGTGCCGCTCCCTGCTGCGCTAAAAGTCTGACAGTTGCAAATCATTTGAATGTAGTGTCAGTACAGTTCGTCATAAATAGAACGAGGCATCAGTTTACTGATGGGGATCGTGTCGCATGGTGACGCGCCGCATCCAGTGTAGACAACATCACTGGGTTCTATTGTCTTTTGTCGGATCATGACACTCGTGTACAGTGTAGACATGGTGTGAGTTTTTTTAATGGGTTATGCTATAGCCTTGTTTTTAATGTTTTTATGAAATATCTGTATTGACTGCATGATCATATCATCGTATTATTTACTGCCATGCGAGCCACAAAGTAAAGCTTGGCGAGCAGCGCAATGAGTAACACTTCGTTAGACCATTAGAGATAGACAAACGATTTTTTAAAATACAATAACAGGAGCACAATGACCTTTCCTCATAGACAGAGGACAGAGACCATCTGACCCCCCATTTCATCATCCCAAAGCAGCTAACAACGGTAGCGCTAACCAAACCCTGACCTACTGCAAAGACAAATAACAGCTCCTGAAAAACAAATAAAATGTCAGCATTATAAATATTCATCGAGGTGTATTATAGCTTATGTAAACGTTTAAACTTTCATTACGCAAGGCCTCATCTATGACCTAAGCAGTCATTTATAAGATGTGACTATGAATATTTATGCTTGTTGCTCACTTTGGCAGGCCTTTCATTACACAAGGCCTCATCTATGACCTAAGCAGTCATTTATAAGATGTGACTATGAATATTTATGCTTGTTGCTCACTTTGGAAGGCAAGTTGCCACTGATTATGAATTATGAAGACATTAAGGAGTGATGCTTAGTCAGTCGAGTATGCACAGTAAACTTGTTTCAAGCTGCATTATTCATTACCTGTGTGATAGTAATATATTCCTCTGACTGCTGCTTTGGAAGAAAATCCACATATAATCTCACATCTGCACTAGACTGTTTAGAATTGGCGACTCAGCTTGTGACGACATTATATGTCAGTTATAAATCCATTGAAATACATTACAGCATATACCTATGGAATTAAGATAGGATGAACCGGCAGTTGGTTTCAAGTGATTGAGGTAAATATTTCACTTCATCCAGCTATCTTTTTGTTCTCTGTGTTCGGAAGTTCGCCTTTACTCTCTGACGGAGCGAGAAACTGCTCCAAACAATTCAGCCTGCATCATGGTGACAATTAATCAATATAAATTCTCTGTTAATCCACGTTATTTAATTCTTCCCTTAGTAATTTACTTAGTCTGTTCGCATGTGTCTTCATGTTTGCCGGCGGCAGAACAAATGCTTATAGGAAAGTTTGGCTTCAGAACAGTGGGATTACTGAGCATGTTGTGTCAATAATCATTTATGTATTTATTAATTAGAGCTAAACATTGTAGTCACGGCTTAACACTGGTCATTTGGTTGTCGTGTTCATCTGCTGTGATTAGGGGTCATTTTTAGAGCGTGTCACCGACCACACCGGTCATTACAGTAATGATATGAATGATTACTTGGTAATATGTTCTGGGCTTTGGTATGTTGCGCTGATGATAAAAGAGAGCCAATTCCAGCACTCACCTCTTTCTCACCGCAGATATTACTGATGATGGAGTTGGATGCCGGGCTGGCAGAGGGGCCCAGGACCGCCACAACCCCCTTGGACATGATCTGGCACACTGTCAATAGTTAAGGGAAAGACCAACTGTCATTTATTACAGACAGAGAGCAGAAGGAAAGCAAGATGTAACCCTGCCAAGAGTGCTGCTGTCTTATTTTCATTCAAGGATCAGTGCTAGGTAGGTTACTTACTAAATGTAATCCGTAACTGATTCCAAATTACATGACAATTACATATAATTATAACTCGTTTAATCGCATTGATCAACCTTGTACCATATTGATACAAATAGAAAGAAATATATTCCATTCGTTGTTATTAATGACATGAAGTGCATTAAACATTAGGTCAAGGTTTCCCAAACTGGGGTTCGTAAACAAATTGCAGGGGGTTTGCAAGTTTAATGAAATGCTAATAATTAATTAAATCATAAAAAATTAAAGACTTACTAAAAAAGATTAAATATTTAGTTTGTTTACCTGCATGCCATGTGACCACTAACCAATGTCAAAGAACCTTGAACAAGCAAATGTGTTACTTAATTATTAATTTATTATCTTAAAATCTCAGGGAGTTCTTCAGGAAAATATATTAGCTGAAAGAGACTCATCTGACAAAAAAAGTTTGGGAATTCCTGCACTACATGTAAATAATGCGAATTTGTTTAATGTGTAATGTTTAGGAAAATTTTAAAGATGGAAAAAGAAGAATTAGAGAGAATCAATAAATTGTGATTAATAATTGTGTGAATAATATGCAATCATGTAATCAATAAAAAGTAACTGTAGTCTGATTACAAGTATTTTAAAATGTAATATAATCTAATTTCAAGTACTTAATTTTTGGAATCTGATTACGTAATCCATTTTACATGTAATCAGTTACTGTCAAGGATACTGTATCTGCCATGGAAGTCTATAATACCCAGACAAAGCAAAAAGCATTAACAATTAGTAGTTAGTAGTAGTAATAATAATAATAATAATAAAAATAAGTATTATTATTATTATTATAACAACAACAACAACAACAGAATAATTATTATAACAGCAACAGAATAAAAATAAATCATTCATTAATAACTAACATGAACAATTATTAATAATAAAATAATCACCATCGAAATATAAGCAATTGTTATTATTATTTTTATTATTATTATTAAAAATAATTAATAAAATAAATAATCATTATTAAAATAATAATAACAATTAATAATAATTATCACAATAAATAATAATAATAATAATCAACACCATAATATTGACAATTTTAGTAGTAAGTAAATAAATTGGGGACTCATCTACTATAATACAATGCTGTATTTAAAATATTTACATGTTGCTTGCAAACAGATGTATTCCATTAGAACAAATGCCTACTTTGTAACAACTTTCAATAGAGAAATATGATTTTTGGGTCCAGATGGTGCAGTTACTGAATCTACCATCAGAGGCTAATGGTCCATGCTTATCAGCCAAAACCTGATCTCTTGGTGTCCACTCAATCTGTTCTAAAATTACTAGCAAAACCCAAATAATTCCATTTTATTCAAGAACAGGTTTTAAAGAGCTCACTATAATCACAATCTAGCCTATCAGAAGCTTAGCGCTGTTATTAATCTGCTCTTTTTCAGTCTCTCACACAAAATTACATTTTATTATTAACTGACCTTTGAGTGAAGTGTGTCCTGAAATTATATTTGTGATTAGGAGCAGGAGGAGTGAGAGGTAGATTTGTTTCTCACTCTCTAGCACACAAGCGGGGCATCGGTCTGAAGTGTTATTTCTAATCATTTATAATCTGGGGGGCAGTTGAGGCCTAATGGTTAGAGAGTCGGAGGTTGCGGGTTCGAGTCTCAGTACTGGCAGGAATTGTTGGTGGTGGTAGTGAATGACCAGCACTCTCTTCCACCCTCAATACCACGACTGAGGCGCCTTGAGCAAGGCACCAATCCCCCAACTGCTTCCCTGGTGCCACAGCTAAAAAAAAGATGCCCACTGCTCCGGGTGTGTGTTCACGGTGTGTGTGTGTGTGTGTGTGTGTGTTCACTACTGTGTGTATTCCGAGTATGGGACACCATACTTGGCCACACATCAAGTCATTTTTTTTAATCCCTCTCTTTTTTAATTATGATGGTGTGGGCCACATACTGGTGCTCTGAGCACTTAAGCAAGGCATGCTGGGAACAAAGGAAGGGGAAATCTAGCGTAGCGTTAGTTCTGGCAGGTCACGTTAGTCAAGCTCGCATCAGCTGACCTTCAGCTGATCCCCATCTACCTAAGGGAATATGACACCTATCTAAGCACTAATTGTCAATCATCTTTGACGATAGTGGTCCTGACAGAAATTATGCAATTACAAAGCACCAATAAATGCAGTTTTTTTTTCATTATTTAATTTTTTTAACTCATAATCTCATAGTGAAAAATGCAAATGCAGACACCTGTGGAAGCCTCTGTTACTTGTGTTCCTATAATACATTGCAAGCACATCTCTGCGCTGCCCTGAAGGGTGATGAGCTGCATTTTTAGGATCACTACACACACTGCTACAGTGAATACACAAGCGTTCATTTCGCAGGTCAACTGCTCTCAGTTGGAAATCAAGTGTAGCCTCATGGATTCATGTCAGCCTTGTTGTTATTCTTCTAAACAGGGCTTTCAACTTGTTAAAGTAATTAATCACAATTAATCTCATGATTTATTGGCATCAACATTATTACTACAGATAATGACTCTTGATATACACTCTCAGAAATAAAGCTTCCAAAAGAGTTTTTTGCAGTAATGCAAGAAAATAACCATTTTGGGTTTTCAAAGAACCTTTTACTGAACAGTTCTTAAAAGAACCATTTTCTCTTAGTATGAAGAGCATTTTAATAATAATTTAAAACATTTTTCTACTATAAAGAACATTTTGTGCATTAGAAAGGTCGTTAACGGTTTTTCATGAAATTACAGATGGCAATAAAGAATCTTAATTTTTCAGAGTGTAGTGTATATTTTCTTCTCAACATGTATTGCTTCCAGTCTATCACAGTGACAATTACATTCCACCAATTCCAACTAACTTTTGTTAAAAGTCCAATTTGTATTTGATTTATACAGAGGGTGGTGTCAAATGTATGAGGCTTTATTACAAATTACTATTTATCATCAGCATAATTTTTAGTGATAAGTTGAATTGAAAATGATCTTCAGCAGCAAAAACTCCACAAGTCTGTGTAAAATCTGATTGTGTTATATATATATATATATATTATATATATATACAGTATATATATATATATATATATCTTTGTCTTTCAATGAAGAACAATTAAATACAATATAGCACTTTTTTTTTGCAGTGGCTTGAGCTTCACTGGTAATTAAATTCCACTAAACAAACAGTGTATCTTTTTTATTTATTTTAATTTTGCTAAATGTCTCATCCACATTTGATTCATACATAAATGATCCATTAAGAAGCACATTTTCCAGCATTTACTGGTAATCTAAAGATAGGTAGTAGGATTGTTGTGTCTGAGTATTAAACACAGACACCTGTGCAAGTCCTGATTGTTCTGATCAGTCTTTGGAAATCACAGAACAGAATGAAGCATTATTTAAATGTATACATACATGTTTAACAATGCAGAATTTCACAACTATAAATGTTTAATATATCTCAAAAGTTCCATCTTTATCTCAGCCTGTTTTATTACACAGTCATCCAAGAATTGTTCATCTGTGCTGTTGTCTTGCACGCACGGATCACAAGGCATGTAGTTATAAACCCTAGCATGTACTATGAGTCACGAGGGTCAGGTGGTTCAAAGTTATGACTGACTGGAGTCGAATCTTTTGACATGATCCTCCTGTAAGGCTGATCCAGAGAAGCACAATGAATCTATGTGGATTGAGTGAGCACAATGCATCGTGGCTGGTTTCAGAACATCTCTGTTCACTTCAGATCACAAACATTAGTATGCAGACCACATGCAAACACACACAATGTGGGATGTGGGAAGATGCAGGCTTCAGCGATTTCAGACGGTAGTATGGTAGGGCAGGTAGCGGTGGTGTGACATTTCTCCCTTCCTAGGAGTGTCACTGATCCATTTCTAATTCAATTCCTGCATACTGCAAGCTATTACAATACTGAATTACACTGAACAGGGTTGTGCGACTAACCGTGGAGCGAAAGAAAGCTGTTCATATCTATCAGGAGGGGATTTTAATGGCGCTGCCTCATAAGCCCAGAGAAACCAGGAGAGGCTTTTCATCCTTAACCGCCATGTGTCTCAACAGCTTTGATTGTTTAAATTACAGCTCGTCTTCTCCTGATTTTAGTGCCGCCTACTTTCATTGACAACAATGAACCTCAGTCATGTTTAATATCCCTCTTTGAGTGAGCAATTCTATTTTGTTCTCCCCAACGCTATTTGATTCAGGATTTGTAAGGGAAGCATTATTAAATCTAGGGCCTCAGAGTAAGAAAGGCACACAAAGATTGACTGGCAGCTGTTAAAGTAAAAGTCGCACTATTAGTTTGACACCCACTGACTGCCGGTTTCAATTTTAAAGGCAGAGTGAAGTTCAAAAGTCTGAGTCCACACTGAAAATCTGGGATTCAAACCTAGAAATAAACAAAGATTTATGATACTGCAATTGCAAAATCTAAAACAAAATGTTATGATGTGAAATTCATGCTAACGTTTTCCCTTTAAATTATGCTCATAATTAAAATAAATAAATAAATAATTTAGCTAAATCAAGAACCAAACTGTTATGTTATGTTGTTAACTAACTAACTAAATAAATAAATAATGATTTTGTAACATTTAAAACATGTTACAACATAAAAATACAAACATAACAAATGTTACAACATAAAATTAATAAAGAATATTTCAGATTCTGCACTATTTCTAGGTCACTAATCAAACAAATACATTTTAAAACAAAATGTTACAACATAAAATTAATAAAGAATATTTCAGATTCTGCACTATTTCTAGGTCACTAATCAAACAAATACATTTTAAAACAAAATGTTACAACATAAAATTAATAAAGAATATTTCAGATTCTGCACTATTTCTTGGCCTATCAAATAAGTAAATTTGTAAAATAAACAAGTTAATAAATAAATCTCTAAAATTCAGATTGATATAGATCCAAATGAACATTGATTCTTATTGGAGTTTGTGTTAATAAAAAAAATGACTTTCTTTTATTAATGAAGCACAAAAGAAGATATTCTGAATAAGGTTGGGGTCCAAACAACTTTGGATTCCATTGACTCCTATTGTATGGACAAAAAGCAATTTTCTTCATTTTTCAAAATGAAGAAGAATTTTCAGAGAAATAATAATGACACCATTTCCATTTTTGGGTGAATTATCCCTTTCTTAAACCTAAGTAAATGTGTGACGTGACATGTGGCCAAGTATGGTATTCCATACTAGAATTTGTGCTCTGCATTTAACCCATCCAAATGCACACACACAGCAGTGAGTAGTGAAAGTCGTGGTTTTGAGGGTGAAGAGAGTGCTGGTCATTCACTCCTCCCACCTACAATCCCTGCCGGTACAAAGACTCAAACCCGCAACCTTTGGGTTACAAGTTCGACTCTCTAACCATTAGGCCACAACTGCCTAAACATAATCCTACTTTCCTACTGTAAACATAATCCTAGTTTATCTGGTTCCATGTTTTCCACCATTCATACTTTATCCTGGGTAATTAATTAATTACGGGTCACTAGGCAGTGATATTTCAAACTGTACACTTGTAAAACCTGGGTTGATATTCTTATTTGCATATTTATGACATTAAAAGCATTGATTGGACAAACACATCATGCAACTTGTTTTATAACTGCTTGTTCATCTGTACAAATGTGAGGGTGATTAATTTTAAATTGATTTGTCAAAAGTACTATTTAATATATTGTTAAATTGTACTAGAAATATTAAATTAATAAATTAATTAAAATAAATAAATTAAATATATGTATAAAAAGTATTAAAATATAATAAAATTATTAAAATATGACACATTTCTTAATGTTTAAAATCATAATATATTAATTGCACTAATTGGACAAATACAGCATGCAAATTGTTTTATAACTGCTTGTCCATCTGTGGAAATGTGAGGGTGCATTATTTTAAATATATCAAAACTGCTATATAGTGCTTAATTGAATATATAATTGAATGTAAAATAAATATTTTGCATATAAAAATATTATTAAAACAAACATATTTATAAAAAAGTTACTACATAAAATATAAAAAAAACATTATACATTTCTTTAGGTATAATGTATAAAAATTATACTGTATGTAAAATTTACATACTCCCCAGAAACGATAAAATATTAAAATATAAAAAAATATATATAAATACTCACTAGTTTCCCCTGTCTCGTATTCACTGTCTCGGAGCAGCTCAAAAATGTCCACCTCCAGTTTGCCTGTGGTGGAGCGGTTGCTGGAACGGTTGATGCTGTCTTTCGCCAGAGTGATGGCCAATCGCTCCCCGCGGCTACACTCCATCGGGTCATCAAGAATGGCAGCTGAGTCACAGTTCAAGGAGAAAGAGAGAGACCCAGAAAGTGAGATGAGATATTTTGACGAACACAACTGTGACAAAAGAGATTAAGAAGTCCTCAAGATACTACAGAAATCATTTAACACAATGAAGAATCACGGAAATGTAGGCACAAGTGTTTCTGGGTCACCTTTGGGTGCATATTGAAGTGCATTCGATTACAGTAGACAAGATTAATGCTGTTCTTTGACAGTTTTCTTACTAGACTGACACAAGCGCTCCATGTAGCTGTTTTGCTATGAATGACTCAGTCACAATGTTGCGCAGTAAATAAACAATATCCTTGCACTATTACAGTCATTGGCTCCTTAGTGTTATTAGTGTACATACTGCCCCAGGTAGTCAGCGCAATCGGGCCAATTGCGGCTGAGTCTCGGCTCACTTGGCTGTGTTCTGGCAGCGGCTCACCGAAAGTGATGTTTTGGATGTTATGGGGTAGTAGGTGGGGATGCCATGACAAGAAATGGTGTAAGGGCCAAACCCTTAATCTTTGTAAAGGTGACATATTTAGTTGACATGCATAAGTACATGTAGACTTAACAAGGACACTGTAAAATATGTATTTTATTTCAGTTGGAAGTATGCCATCTTAAGGATTTTAAGGTAACAATGTCATTTTGTGGAAAAACTAATTATTCAAAGCTCTGGTTTTATATTTTATGGCCTTATTTCAGTGACTTTAAAATTTTAGTTTTTCACTGAGCACGCATAAACGTTGTTTTCTCAAAAACACAATCACATACATACATGCTGCCCACATATTATTGTAGCCCAGTTTGTGCTGATTATGATGCTACTAAACTTAGCCATTAAAATGTTTATTAGCAACTGAAAAAAGCACAAATGTCAGGACATGTCAAAACTTCTCCAGGGCCCAAAACACCCTCGGACCCCAGAGGGTTAAATGTCATTTTAAGTATATTTCTGAGAAGTACATAAAGCCCATTTCTGAGAAGTACATAAAAAGTAGACTAAAAGTATACTTTCCTATTTTTAGTTTAAAAGAAGTATACTAATAGCACACTTGAATAAACTTCTTTTTCATAATGGTTGCCCTGAAAGTGGTTTATTTACACTGTAGCGCTGAAACTGTGCACGATTATACCGATTTTTTTAATGCCAGTTGTCAAACCCTGACAGAACAGTATGCTATAAGAGTTCATGTTCATAAACATTGCACTGGAAGTAAGCACAACCCTTGGACTAATCTTGGACTGTACAATCATCATAAAAAAATACATTATGCATAAAATGGAACTGCAGTGACTCAGAAAGCTTTAATCATTTAATTCAAACAAGACCAAATAAGTCAAAAGAGTTCTCCTATTAAAAAAGGGCAATATAAATAACAATCCACTTAAGACTGCCATAAATATCGCGATGTTTGTTTAGAGATGGTAAATGGAGATCCGCGGTATGTTGTAAATGAGATTAAATGTATTCGCTTGCGGCAGAGCAGTGAAGGCAGTTAAGCCACACATTTTTTGCTATTTTAATGTGCTTTTGGGTAAAAAGCAATTAAATTACTATATACAGGAGTCCAATTTGAGTTAATGTGTTCTGCGAGGATAAAACAGAGATTTTTGCCTTTCCCACAGACTCAATAGGGGATATTTTACAAAAAAATGTATCATCAATTAATATGCTGTCACATGTGGGGCAAAGCCACATTCATTACAGAAGTTTTCTCATCAGTAATACCTGTCAAAGCAATTGTTCGCAGGGAATGCATTGCTAAAGCATACATTTATTCACATCTGTTATTCTCAACAGAAAGAGAAAAAGAATACAAGAAAAGATGTTCATTCTTGTACTGGCCACCCATACAGAAGACTTCCCACACCCCCTCCACTCTGTCGCAGCCGATAGCAAAAGACTGTTCCCATATCACAAGTGGAGCAAGCTCTAAGCCCTGAGGTTCTGTTCTTGTCCCCAGTCCACGGTCGCAAATGTAGATGTCAAAACAAGAAACTGGAATTGCCAGCTCTAAACGGAATCCTAGCGCAGGGTAAAAATATCAGAAGGGGAGATCTGTTGCAGGGCAATGACATTTTAAAGGCATTGCGGTATGAGACTCTGAGCAATGTGGAGGTCCACTGCAGCTGAGGTTCTATTCAATCTTCCAGTCTTGGCTTGGCTGCTGACCCTTTTAGAGGAATCGATGGTGAGCAGCAGCGTGTGCCGCGGCCTGAAACGCATTGTGTAATGTGCGTGGATACCAGGGCTGACAGTTATGGTATGAGCAGAAATGCATGTGCAGCAATGTGTGTTTGCACTGCTGTGTGTTTTAAATCAATTTATGTATCCGTTTTGTACTTGGAGTAAAGAAAGACAGAAAAAAATTATTGATCATCAAAGATTGTGGAATCAGATATGTTGCAGGCCAGACTTGAACCCATTTTTTCCATATGAGCACCATAACTCCTAAGCAATGGTAGCTTTTGGGCGTTTTGGCCTTTGACTGATAGGTAAATTAAAAAAAATGAAATTAAAGTTGGGGGAATCAGATATGTTGCAGGCCCGACTCAAACACATTTTTCCCATTTGAATGGAACGTCCCCCTTAAAAGGTGGAAGCTTTTGGGCTTGCTGGCCTTTAGCTGATAGGTAAGTGAAGCTAGACAAGTAATGGTGATGTTAAAGATTGGACAATTGGATATGTCACAGATTTGAACCTGTATTCCCATAAAGCACCAAAGATCCCAAAACACAGAAACTTTTGGGTCTTTTGACCTTAATTTAATAGGTAAATTAATCATGATAGGAAATGGCCATGTTAAAAATTGGACAGTTGGATATGACACAGACCTACTTCAAGCCTGCCTCTCCAAAAAAGCACCCCAGAGCTTTATTTGACAGGTAAGTGATGAGATAATAGCAAGATGGAAGATTAAAAAAAACTGCATGATGCCAGCCAGATTCAAACCTTTGCCCTCATAATAGCACCACAGCTCCTAAATAATGGAGCCTTCATTCCTGCACAGCTGAGTAGCTCATCTTTAGACAAATGGGAATGCTAATGTATACATCATTATATCTCCTGATATTACATACCTCCTTGGTGTTACCCACTGAATTATAGAATTATTTTAGCGTTTGTTTATGTGCACTCTGTATCTGAAGATTCTATTGCACTATATTTCTTCTAGCTATTAACCTGTGCAGCTCGCAAACCACTATGTATCCTGCAGGCTAAAGAAACACTGAAACAAACCATTTGATCTTACAATACATGGGGGTTTATAGTATGTCCCAAAGGCCCGTTCAACACTACATTGTCACCATAATAAAGCCACTAAACTCTCAAAATCACCTTGTGCTGCTGCTCCCACTGGGCCGTTGGCTAACAGTAGTCAAAACAGACCAGCCGTGGAGGATGGCGGTACTGTGAGGAGAGAGGAACTCATCACTCAAATGGGTTGTCCAATGTACAAATGCCTATTAAATAAGCACCATCACACACTTAATCAACCAGAGTGACTGAACACAGATAAAATGGACAACTGCATCACCTTTAAGCACACTAACTGCCATTTAATATGCTTTTCCATTTAAACAGTTAGATCCAAATGAGGCTTGAAGAGCGTCAAAGCAGCAGAATCTTGATTGTGACATTTATACAGCCATTATACTAGACTGATTATCAATGAACAAACTGTCAACAGTAATGACATTAAAGCACACTCATTAACTTTCTTTCAAACAACTGAAAGAACTTTACCAACATACAGTAAAAGAGCTTGATGTTGTAGAAAAGGTATTGCTAGTGCATCTCGTCAGAAAGCTGGATTTTAAGATTTTAAGATTTTTTTAAAGTGTTACTAATGCGAAGAAGACTTCAATGTAGTTACACTTTTGCCTTTTAAGTATTTTCACAAAATATCCTGCTGATTTGTAAATAAAATGATGTGATAAAGAGCACATTGAGAGTTAACATTTTGTTTAAAGTATTACCATTTAATACATTTTTGATTGTCTTTTGGAACAATGTATTTAGGGTGCTTTACCAATATAAAGTTTTGATCAGGTAAAAAAAAAAAAAAGAAAATTAAAATGTAAAACTAATTGGACCAAGAACGTGATTTTATAAATGAAGTTTCTTTTATTAAGCCAAAGTAAACATACTCTTGCCACTATTCTTGCCACAATTTTTTTTATTTAATTTACATTTCAATTGAACCAAGTGGAAAATTGTGATGCAACAAGTCACTAAAAATTGAGTTGGAGATGTTTTTTTTTTTGACAGTGTAGAAGTTATTTTAATATCCTCTATTTTTTAAGTATAAAGGCAGAACAGAGCATATCATGAGCTCAAGTGAGGCCACAATAATGTTTGATCATTTATGTATGCTCCTTTATGCTCTATGCATGTTGTAAGCAACAAATATCACTACTGAGGAAACTTCAGTATCAAGCCCAGTTTAACAGACTGCTCTGCTGTGGGAGTATCTCTTGTTTGGTTAAAAAGTACAACTTTACCTTGCTGAACCAGAAACTAGGGATGTGCAAAATACATATTTTCAAAATTGACTGTCCAATTATACAGCAGGCCTTAACAACAATTTATCGTGTTTCTTAGGAAGCGTTTACATAGTGTGTTCTTGCAATAATAAAATGCTATGCTAGAGTGATAAACAAGCAATGTTAATGTTAAAAACTATTTTTATCCGCCTTATGTTTAATGTACAGTAAGAACTGGCTCAGACATTTTAAACTTGAATGTGCGAGCTGTACAAAACAGTCTGTTATGCTGCTTGAAATTGCAAATTGGCATTTGTAATAATAGTATTTTCATTTTTTATCTAAATTATAAACACTACACTGTCTGTCTTTACTCCGCCAATGAAAATAAATCCAAACGATGCAGAACAGGTGTGAATCTATAAGCAACACAGTAGCGTGGTTTTGTTCCTGAAAGAAGCTGTTGATCCAAAGATTTGAGTCACTTGTTTAGTTCCTGAATAAA